AAGTCAGAAACACCGCCAAGATTATATTTCAGTAATACACACAAAGAGATGGGAAAAAAAGTATCCGAGACTTCCCCTCCTTGTGAATTATTTAGCCATAAAGAGAAAAGTCGAAAGGAAAGACAGAGGAAAAAAGCAGAAGTGAATTTACCCAAAATAGAAGAAAAACTCTTTATTGACCACTCACAGCTACAAGCAGGCGGTGCCAAGTTAGTTTCTGATGAAGCCCGGAGAAAAATTTATACAGCTGCTCAAACGAATGTGGGACATGAATTAAGAGATTTTTCGAAGAAAGATTTGTCGCAAGATGGGACTGATTGGTTAAAGAGAGAGCGAAGTTGTTCCACTGGAACACATTCAACGGACAAGAAAGATACCACTCATTTGAAACAAAAAATTTTTCATTCGATATCATCGCCGGCGGGAACTAATTACCCTAAAGCCTCCGAATTAACTTCGGCTCCTCTTTTCGATCTTCGGAATGATAATTTTCAATTCGAAGCATTCAAGGAAAAATCACCAATGATTCGGCGAACGGATCAGTTTTCCATAACCCGCGCAAATATTCGCCGTGTTGGCAAAGCGACTCTTGCCGCTACGAGACTTCTAAAAATACATTACAGAGAAAATGGAGGGTCAAAAAAAGATGTCACAATTACAGAAGACCACAAAAAACTGGATAAATTGTTTGAGGAGATGAAAGACTGCCGATATTTAAGACAGAATAGTTCCGAGATGCGCACTTAAACAGTAGAGAAAAGACTGAATGCACTGCACTTATGTTATTGTGATCAACGCGCTAATCTGGCTGTGTTTAAAATGTGATTCGTTGAATTTTCTTTTGTTTGATTGTGAATTACGAAAAAACACTTCCAGGAAATGAAGATTTATAAATTATATTTTACATGCAAAGCTAGTATTCCAAACGACAGTTCTTTCTTTATTGAAACTATTATATGTTAGTGATTTTTCAATACATCATTTGAATGTCTAAACTTCGCTAAATGTGAGTATAGATTTATTAGTTCTATATAGATTAGAATAAAGGACTAAGATGTTTCTTAGTTGTTTGGCGTAAGTTGTAAAGCAGATGCGAAAAAACGTGACTTGACTTTTTCCTGGCTGCCAAACGTGCTTGGGATCTTTTTGTGGCCCCGAAAAAAAAACAAAGAGTGTTTGTCACTTATGTGCTTAGAGAAGCAAAGGAAAACTAAAGGAAATTAATTTTTTTGTGCGAACAGAAAGGTGTTAAGCGTCTTGAAAAGGTGCTGATTGGTGTTATAAAAAAAATTATAAGTAAGGTTAGTTGGTCACGTATGGAGGCCGCACCATCAAGAAACCACCACAGGGTCAGATCATGTCTGACTGAACAGGATAAAGGTCCTGGGGTCCGTTTCTCGAAAGTCCCGGTAACTTTTCGGGCCCGAAATCAAATATTCAAATCGAAATATAAAGAATAAGAGCGCGGGTCCTGGCTGGCAAACTACTCCATTTTGTTTCATTAACTGATAGTTTTATAATGTTAGATGCAAAACTGTTGAAACCTCGATTTTTAATGTGAACGGGGACAGCTTACCGGGCCCGTTAATTATCGGGACTTTTGAGAAACGGCCCCCAGTTTGCCAAACCCCTAGGCCTCATTATTGCGCGCGGCCGAAGCGTTTCGGGTCACATGGTCCGAACGAGTTTTTGACACGGGACCATTCGCATCGACGATTTCTTGTTCAACACAGCGTAGCAATGTTGGAACAATGTTGCAACCATTCGAAACAATGTCGCAACAATGTACGTTGGAATGATATGTTGCGCTAAAAATCGTCGTTGCCAATCGTCTGGTGTCACCTTAAGACTAGGACCTCGGCTGGCAAAGATCGAAAAAAAACGTTTGTTGTTTTAATAAGTAAGATGTCATTTATAACAAAGTGAAAACGTCGATAAAGATGTATGAATGCATTTCTCTCTTATAATTTCCTCAACAGTAATGAGCTTCTTTTCGTTGTAAACGCTACTTCATCATTAATATCGAAACTTTTTAAACGCGTGTTACATACACTTAGTCTACACTTTCAGGATAGTTTAGTAAATTAACAGGAAGGTATTTATTGCAAACTTTGAACACAGCTTAGCTTAGCTTTCGCAGATTTCTAAAGTTTGACCGCGGGAAAATTCTGGTCAGACAGCCAAGCCTGAATTTCAGCCGAGCGTACTATTTGTCAAAGAAATAAAAATCAAAATAGTGGCTGCAGCATATTAATGAGGGGCTGGTTGCTTGCATTTGGGGGGCAAGCGGCTCTGTGGGTGCGCAGGCTATGATAAACAACCTGAAAACAAACCTTTTCATTACTGATGGTTCGATTTCACGCTGTTTAGGCCGAAAACTCTGATGAAAAGCCAATAAAAATTTATACAGCTGTTTAAACGAGCGTCGGACATGGATTTGGCGAAATAAAGGGTTTTTCGCGAGGTGCAAATTGGATCTGAAAAGAAGGTGAATTTCGCGCTCTGTTGAACCTGATTTTTAACTAAAGACGGCAAGGACACCGCTAGCGCGAAAGTAAAACTCCTATTTCCCGTCGAACCATATGCAGGAGCTTATCCTTGAAAATCTTTTAATTAACCATGACTCTTTTTCTTGAACTTAAGGAATAAAAAGCCTTTCGAAAATAAAAAAAAATCACCAACGATCATTCGAAACTAGATTTAAAAAAGGTTTATCGGTACAAAACTTCTGAAAAAAAAAAAAAACCTGAGAGGCGGACTCTCTTTCCTCGGCTTTGCCTCTGAGGAAAGAGAGTCCGCCTCTCACATTAATGAGGGGTCCGTATTTTGCGGCTGTCCGTAAAGTGGAGTTTGACCGACGATATGTCGATAGATGAAAGACGGGGTAGAACAGAGTGAAAAAAGATGTCACAATCAAGGTAGAAAGAACCTGGATGTATTGATTAAGTAGATAAAAAATTTCCAACAGAATAAGCTTTCAAAATTCGCGCTTAAAAGAAAAGTCAAACAGTGCATCAATAGAGAAAACGTAGAGGAATAAGACATTCAAAATTTGAAATTTAACTTCAGAAACGAATGCAGTTCTTTGTTTACAAAAGTCGGTTGTCAATATCAGTCTTCTCAAGTTATTTAAACCATGAGTCTCCACTTAATCAGTGAAAAAATAGGGGGGGGATCTATCTTTCAAAGCTTTTATTTTGAAGTAGCAGCGTGAAATAAACACATTTTGGGCCGATTTGGTTATTAAAAATATGCAAATGAAGTCACGTGACCCATCACAGCTTAAAGCTGTTAAAATAGGCACACTTTTTCTTGTGTCCTTAAATTTTTTACTAGTTGCGTAATGTTAGGGCCATTAGATAGATGATTTCTGTGCTTGGTAATGTTAAAATATTGTAAAGGAAAGGTCCGATCAAAGAAATCACTTGTAATAGGGGACTGGTTACTAGTAAAAAACCGCTTAATTGCAGAAGTAATGACATATAAGCACAGTTTTGTAACTTTATATTGTTAATTGTCTTTAAATCCTTAGTCCAGAGTAAAACTGCTTATCACTCGCTGGCTTTTTCTTGAAGTGTAGCTGAGCAAACGCTTTTCCTGGCTTCTGTCTCACACGCCAGAAAAACCAACGGGTATGGCGTCTAGCCATGGGCAGAAAAAAAGTCGCTCTTACCAGAGACCCCATTCCCTGCTAGCAGTGGCCTCTCAGGGGAAATACCCCCCCCCCCCACCTTCCCGCCCCAAACCAAACATAAAGACGTAAATAGAATTGAATTTTAAGCCAAGAAGTTGCGTTATGTGTGCCTAAAGTATGGAATAAAAAGCAAAGACTTCGAGTGGTATTTATATACATTCCAATATTCATCTCTATACCCTCGTCAGGCACACCCAATCCTTTGGTATGCAACCATTAGACTACTGACGTCGGTACAAAACCATAGCCCGCCTGTAAAAACGGTTTAAACAAAGTTTTTTTGATAAAATTATACTCCATAGTCTTTATGCGGGCGGCAGCTAATTATAATAATAAGCTTTGGACAATGAAAAAGACAGTCCGGTTTGAGATTTTTTCGTTTTTAAAGTAAGCCAGTCTTCTGTGTTGCTTACGACCTTCCTAGACTGGTGCAAAACGGTCGGGTTTTTTTCTCTCAAACTCGGTCATTGTATTTTTCTTAAACATCTGCAAATAAATTGCAAATTTAACAAAAATATTATTACAGAATTAAAGTATTAATAAATGAAAATTAAATAATTACATTACAAAATTAAAGTAATATGTAGAAATTTATTTTTAAGTAAATCGCCTAACCAAATTAGTATGGATAAGAATTAGACTTTTCTTTTCTGTATCATATATTGACATTGTCAGTTTTAAAATTATAATTGAGTAACTCTATATTCTAACATCCGATTTTACCCAATGACATTTGTAAGTCCCTGACGGCGAAATTTAAGGCAGTGCCTTTCGAATTTAAAAATACCCTAAGCTATCGTTTATAAGCCCCCCCCCCCTCCTGCCCCCGCCCCCCCACCAACAAGCTCCTCCCCATCATAGGTCCATCTATTTGAAAACAAAAAATGCGGTGATTTATCACCAGTAAGTTCAAAACGTCTTTTGATCAGAACTGTTATAGCTTGTTTCGAAGCGCTGTTTCCATTCCGGTAATAAGCTACCCCCCTTGGATAAAAGCCCCTCCTTTTATAAGCTCTCCTAGAACCTCCTAAGCCCCTTACGAAGATGTGACTCCAGGGCTTATATGCAGCAGTTTTCGGTGGCAATTATGTCAAGTTCCTTTACTAGCCTTGCCGCCCTAGCTTGCAACAGGACCAACAGGCGTCCAAATGGGTCACATCAATAACCACCCCCCTCTTGGAGGCAAAAAATTAAGGAAAAGTTGCACAACTTCATTTCTTTCCCATTTCATTCTCTCATTTCACATTTCTTTACATCCGGGATCTTCATAACTACGAAATTTTCGCGCCAAATTCTTCACGTGAGACAACTGATCGCTGCGAAGCTCGAACAAGATGGACGTTGCTGATCGTACAACTGGCACTTCTCATGTACGCGACGACCTCGCAGAGAGATGCCAAAAGCTATTTCAAGACTTCCTCGAAGAGTAAGTAGATTTTCAATCGATCAGATCGATAAATGCTTGTATTAGTGGGTAAAGGTGCCGATTTTTGTACATTTCATTAACCCAGAATAATTTCGAGCTGCCTGCACATGGTTGGAAATCAATCCACGTTCTCGGATATGTTATAGCTTCTGATAGCTTTTATTTTTAAATCAGGCGTTCTAAGCCTGATCACTCCTCGATATTTTTTAGTGGCTGGTCCATTTGAAGTTATCGTAGCTCACACATTCGATTTTTTAGAGCGGCAAAACAAAACAACAGAACGCAAGTGTACAATCTTCTCAGGTTTTGTAAAGACTAGTTTGCCGTTTATGATGAAGTAGGTTACAGAGTGCTTGATTCAGAGATAATTCCTATTATAGAAGAATGTTTTACCAAAATGCTGGTAGGCACCAAGTTACTTTATCTTAAAAACTGGTTGATTACAGTAAGTAATTTTTGAACTTGTGAAGCCCTAACCTGTTAAAGATTTTTAAGTCTTAAGATTATTGTCAACGGCTGGACACGAACTTGGACTAAACTGATAGACATTGGTTCCTAGGTTACAGACTGTTGATCATTTGATACGATGAAATTGTTAGCTCATTTAATCTATGAAACATATTAAACTTGCTTGCTAGTTTAAATATGCAGAGTTACTACTTTATGTAAAAACCTCTCATATATCGAAACTAACTGCACATGCCTGTAATCTGATATCACCCACCCCCCTCAAAGAAAAAAAAGGTTTTTTTTTTTACCTATATCAGGCCTGTACTCTAGCAGCGCCTGGGCCTACTTGTCTATGGGCAGGCTACGCCCCTGATCGACTTGTTTATTTAATCATTTAAAGGTTTCAAGTTGATGGAGAAGAAAAGTATCTCCCTGAAGTTCAGGAGCTTATCAGGCCTGAACGCAACACATTGAGTGTTAGTTATCAAGATGTGGAGTCTTACAATTCTCAGTTATCTACACTAATTCAAGAGGAATACTATAGGTAAGATCAGAAAAGAACAACCAAAGATAATTTGTTATTCACGTGTATTAATTGTGTGTAACATAAGATTGACTACTTTTGGTAATAATCCAGTTTATAGCCAGCTAAAAATCCATTTTCTGTAGTTGAGGTGGTTTTTTTGAAGCTGCAAAATAGAAATTGCAAATTTTATTACCTCACCAAGGCCCCCTTTTATGAAGCGATTTTAGCTAGGTTACAAATATTGTCTTATACAGTTATTTATCTTAAGAATATGTTTCTGAACAGTTTTTGTTGAGAGACAATTATTTACTTCTAGTCCATAAATATTTGAATCCAGCCCTATAATTTAGATTATAATTTAGTTTTCTCATTGTTTAAGGCAATGTTTGAGTGGATACAACTAACAATCTTTCAATTTGCCTTCAGAGTATTTCCTTATCTCTGCCGAGCTGTCAGAAACTTTGCAAGAGATAGAGGACAGGTCCCTCCTACAAAAGAATTTTATGTCAGCTTCACAGATCTTCCTACAAGACACAAGTAAGATGTGTTCATACAATTGTTGTTAAAAAAAACCCACTCCATAGAAGAATTATGAATTTTATTTTTTTGTGTGTGTGTGATCCTTTAGGATTCGAGAACTCACCAGCCAAAAGATTGGCACCCTATTGAGAATAAGTGGACAAGTTGTTCGAACACACCCAGTGCACCCTGAATTAGTGACAGGCACGTTTATCTGCCTTGACTGTCAGACGGTCATTAAAGATGTTGAGCAGCAGTTTAAATACACTCAGGTTTGTGGTTTTCATTGCTTCGTCCTCTCAATTGTATCTTTCATGAAACTGTGGTAAAATGACTGTATCTCTCTATCTAGAAAGATTAGACAAAAATCTTTTTTCAGGCTTTCTTTTCGCAACTTCAAAAGTTGCGTATATAACTGTAATGATCATCCTTCATTTAATTCTTCACTCCGCAGTTCACATATATGATGTTCATATATTCAAAAACTTCACAAAAAATTCTCTTGGTCCTTTGCACTTTCTTTATGCTTTCCTTAATTAATTTTTTGCTTTGACGAGCAGGCAAGATGAAGTGAATCCTGTGTTTTGATTTGCTAGCTGGCTGGGCAAGATGGGACTTTCTTTCCCACTCGGAATTTCCTGTACTGATCCAGCAAAAGATTAAGTTCTTGTGACGTTTCAAAAGGACTTTAATGCAGGGTGTTTAAGATTAACAATGGTTTAATACCATTTCGTTTTGACTATAATTACACATACAGGAGGGTCAAATGGGTTGAATACGGGACAGGACCTATGCAACATTGACTACCCTTCCTTAACAACACCAATCCCATGTAAATCCCAGAAAATCCTTTTTAATGCCAGAGCACTGAGTTCAAATTTACTCCAACCTATAGGAGATTAACTAGTAACATCTCACCTTCCAATATTAGAGCCAGTGTTGAAACCTACCCTCCCCAGCTACACAATTTACTCCAATTCTCTCCCCACTTCCATCCCTAACACTTTATGCGCCCCCCACCCCCCCGAGCTTTGTGAGGTTCTGTGATGCATGCATTTCTAGTACACAGTTGAAAGCAGACCTGTTACATGTGATCATAGATAGACACTATGATGGTTCAATAGGGAAAACATAACTTCCAGTTTATAAAAATATTACAGTTCTCTTAGCCATATAATAAATCCTTTATTGTCCAAGGTTGTTTGGTCCAAGTGGCTTGATATTGGCTTCATCCTTTTTCTGCATTTTTTTATTTACCTGGGCTTCAACTTGGTCCTTAAAAACCAAAAAAGAACTTGTCCTATATTCGGCCATCTTGACCTCATACTTTGTCAAAGATGCATTTGTAGCAAGGGTGATTACAAGTTTCATTGTAATGTTTTTTGTGTTATAATTATCACAGCCCACTGTGTGCCGCAACCCAGTCTGTCAGAACAGGACAAGATTTATGCTAGACATCAACAAGTCCCGCTATGTGGATTTCCAGAAAGTTCGTATTCAGGAAACTCAAGCAGAGTTGCCACGGGGCAGTATTCCAAGAAGGTTTGCCAGTTTCAGTAAAATGTTTTTAATATTATTTTATTGACAGAGTGCAGACACAATCATTAGACAATAAAGATAATGGGGTTAAACCTGCTGTTTAGCTACTAAAAATAATAGAACAATTTGATGTGGGACTTTGCAAACCTATTCTTACATGTTGTTTTTCATGTGCAAAACTCTGTTGGAAAACTCTCCAAATTCTTTCTCATACTGGCTTAGACCAGTATGAATAATATTATTGGCAAAGCTATGCATCCAGGTCAAGTAGGTTTTCTTACTTTCTGGGCAAGTAACCAGCGTGCAAAGAAAGTAGTGTCTGATAGCCCGGGGCTAGTGGATTTTTCTATTGGGCTAGTGAATTCTGTTTTTAACTTGCCCGACGGGCAAGTGATGTTTTTTGAGGAATTCAATTAACAAAAGAACTGTGAAATCAATTCTGCTAGTCAAAAAGTTTTGGGGGCTAGTTGAAATGACGTCTGGGCCAGTAAATGCTAGCTTTAGCTTGCCCAAATGGCTAGCTGTAAAAATAATTTTCTTTGCACCTTGGTAACCTTATGAGCTCACTTGCCAAATAGGCGAAGGTCCAGGCAAACTATCTTGTAACTAAATCGTTAACTGAAACAAGCAAGGAACGGCCTTGTGCAAGTGAATGTGAGAGCTGGTGGTTTAATTAAAGGACATGCTGAAATAAAAGTTTTCTTAAGCTCCTTGTTTAATCCCAATTCCCCAGCCTCTGATCACAGCAGCAGTTTGAAAAATTTGGTTCCTCCTACTTCAAGATTATCACCTGTCAACTCCTTACACTCAAACTTAGCCATTACATTACTTTAATTATCTTTTTTTTTAGTGTGGAAATAATTCTTAGAGCTGAAGCAGTAGAGCAGGCCCAGGCGGGAGACAAATGTGACTTCACGGGAACACTGATTGTTGTTCCCGATGTAGCTCAACTTTCAACACCAGGTAAAAACGATTTAAAACGCATCTTCAAGTAAAAGAAAAGTTGTAACACAGAAATCTGGAAATAAAGAGAAAGATGAGTCAAAACTTACGCCTTTCCTTGTGGAAACAATTATTCCTTGTGTGTGTTCGTGAAAATCTTACGATGCATTTATTAAGTGGGACATAGGTGACAGTACAGATGATGTTGTTATTTATAATGATGATTGTGAATAATAAGGACATTGATAATCAATGTTGGTTTTCAGGTCAGAGGGCAGAGTCTTCTGGGAGACAGACAGCTGGTGATGGCTATGAATCAGAAGGTGTCAGGTAAGTAATGTTCACTGCCATGATGTTTCAACCTCTTGCACTCATTTCAAAAGAGTCAAAGAAACCTGCAAAAGTGGACTTATAAACAGTGTTCCCATTCCCTATGTCAGTCTGAAGGAGTTTTAAGTGTCATGTGATATCCCTCACTCCCAACTAGTTGCTGGATAATTGAAAGCTGACAGCATTGGTAGGTATCAACCATGCACAAATGAGTGTATATGAACAAAGCCAAGGGGATTGAAGTTGTACTAGATAACACCAGTATTTCTTTGTTGTCTCAAACATGAGTACCATGCAATAAGGATTGCACATACGATGTACATTTTCAAAAGAACCAATTTAATGACTTGTTTAATGACCTGCTACCAATTGGTTCGCTCACCAGCTAGCCTGAACTTTCTCAGGCTTTCTTTTTGTAACTGCATAAGTTCATCTTTAACTGTGATGATCATGTTCACATTTATTTAGAACCATCACTACTAGCGTACTATTGCCAATATAAAATTCACTCTAACTCAATCTTCCCCTTGCTCAGTATTTTTGTCATTATAAATTTTTCTTTTTTAGGGGTCTAAAGGCCCTTGGTGTACGTGACTTAACCTATCGACTGGCTTTCCTGGCATGTAGCGTCCAAGCAACAAATCCAAGGGTAAAATTAAAACTTAATGTTTTTATCATAACCATAAGTTTATAATATTTATTTAAGTACGGTCAACTCCCTTCATAGCGGACATTGTAGGGACCTTGGTTCGTGTCCTCATTAGCGAGAGTCTGTAATAGCGGGAGTTTATTTCAGTCAAACGTCTGTAATTTGATTTTGCCAGGGATTTAGCTACTGTCCATTTTATTGGGGTGTCCACAAGGCGAGAGTTTTGGGCTTTATATCATTATTTTAAGCAACATCTGCTTTAATAAGTACAGTGCATGTAACTTCTTAATTTCATAAGGAGTCAAGGAGGCCACAAAAGGAGTATGTATGTCCCAAGTCTGAATTTCAAATAGAGTTATTTCACATTTTGAGGAGTAGGCCATGTCCCTTTCAGTATTTATCCCATCTTTTTGTCATTTGTTGCCATTTAATATTTATTGATCTAGACTTGTGTTGCTGTTACAAGGCCTTGTCACTTGTCGGAATTTTACCCTAACACAGGGTTGTCAGAAAGTTTTGAAGTAGACGGCTGAGTCATTGTCAAAGTAAGCGGCCAGTCCAGGGATATTTAAGTGAAAAAAACGCCAACCGTAAAAAAAATGCCAAGCAGAGTAGCCGGCTGATACTAACCAAGTAGGCAGTGATTTTCGCTGGCAGCCAGCTACTTTTGACAACCTTGCTAACAGGGCCTCATTAAGGTAAAAGATTGTGCAATTAATTCAAGTCAACAGCTATGGTTCACCATGGCATATTCACTTCACATCTTTTTCTGTTCAGTTTGGAGGTAAAGACCTTGATGGTGATGATGTTACAGCAGAAACTATTAAAAAGCAGATGACAGACCAAGAGTGGCAAAAAATCTACCAGATGAGCAAAGACAAGAACCTTTATCAAAATATGATCAACAGTATATTTCCTACAATTCATGGTGAGTATGTTCACAGAAGGTGCTATTTCTTATGTGAAATCATTATTAGAGGGAAAGTGAGAAAAATACCCTGACTGAAAGCAAGATGTTTCTTTAATTTACAAGCAGAAGTTCTAAGTAGTGAAAAGGGAAAATTAAATGTCAAAAGTATTAGTTTTTGTATTGTTTTTTAATTTGGTTTAACCCACGGAGCTTTTAGGAGTTCATAAGAACTCTCTGAAATGTGTTTGTGCATTCCAGATCAAATTTGAATTTGGAAGTGCCGGTTTTTAAGGAGAATGGAAAACTGGAGTACCTGGAGACAACAAACTCAACTAACATATGGTGTCAAGTATTAGCAAATTGGCCTTACATAACAATGGACTTTCTTTTTTTGGAGCTCAGCAGTAAATTTGCATGGTGAATGAAGTCCAGTCCTTTCAATCCTCTGCCTGAAGTTCATAGCTCTTAAAAAATTTTTTCTCTTGGCAGGAAATGATGAAGTTAAACGTGGTGTTCTTCTCATGTTGTTTGGTGGAGTGCCTAAGGTGACAACAGAGAAAACAAACCTTAGAGGAGATATCAACATTTGTATTGTGGGAGACCCCAGCACTGCCAAGAGTCAAATACTCAAGTAAGATGTACTTTATTCTTTCAGGAATGTCTTCAGTCACTGAATGGTTAGCCTGTGAGCAAGCTCTCCTGGGTGCTCTGGGGGCAGTGGGGAGGAAAAGGGGGCATGTCCCATCCAAGAGCTCCACAGAGTAGCTTGCTCACATGGCTACTGAATACTGTGTTGTCTTTTTTACTCCTATCATCAGTTGTGGTAATGGGAGCACAGTTAGCACAGTTCTAACGTTTTCAGTCGTACACCAGCAGCCGTTGTTAGGTGAGAATGCCCCTTACGCTTTGTTGTTGTTCTCTTGTGCTCTCAGCGGCTATATTGTAACTGAGTTGTTATTGCCATTAAACCATAACTGTTCACTATTCTCAGGTCGTCTTTTCCTCAATACCGAGCTTAAACAATGACGATGGTGATGTAAACAAGAACAGTATAAAAGGAATCGGTTTAGATTAGCAAAACAACAACTTTTTTATACACTTTTTGCCATCACTGCACATTACAACATGAAAATGCCTAATTTCATGTTTTGTGGAGGATGCCAACAGAGGGTAGCGACTTTCTTCTTCTTTTTCTGCTTTGATACAGTCTCTTAGAATTCAACCCCGGAAAAAATTGTCAAGATTCAATGAATTGAATGAGATAGAATAAGTGCAATAAAGTTTGAAGCAGCGCAACTTCACTTCACATTACTCGCGTGGATCCCACCACTGCCACTATGCCATCAATGAGGAAAAGACAACCCATGTATAGTAAACAGTTACGGAGTAATGGCGACTACAACTTTGTTACAATAATATGGCCACTGAGAGCACAAGAGCACAACAAGGAAGCATAAGGTGCATGCTCGGCCAACAATGCCTGCTGGTGATAGAAGATATTATGGTTTGTCAAAGGTTTTTTTGTTACTGTACATTTTTGTTCCAGTATTTTGCCGAATTGCTTTTGTTGAATTTTGAAATATCAGTCACAAAATGAGTGAAAGAAAAAATAATTTGAAACCCAATTTTCATTTTTTTCCTGACATATACCAGTTTGTCTGATTTGATTTTTTCTGTTCACTCGAGGCGAAAAAGGACTGTCACCAGCCAGACATTGTTTTGGTGGATGGGTTTGGCATTTCTTGCTTAATTTCTTGTTATTTAGGAAGAGTAAATCTTAATCAATCAACTGCTGAGAATAATAAATAATTCTTTGTAGGCATATAGAAGAATTTAGCATCAGAGCAGTATATACTTCTGGTAAAGCCTCCAGTGCAGCTGGTCTGACAGCAGCTGTTGTCAAAGATGAAGAATCTTCAGAGTTTGTCATCGAAGCTGGAGCTCTAATGTTGGCTGATAATGTGAGTTTTTTTTAATTTTTTTGTAGTGAGTCTGTTTACAATTACAGTTGCTCTGATAAGATAGACTGTCAAGTGAACCATAGCCTGCATCTCAGACCATCTAAATCTCTGCCTATTTTCATATATATCGAGTTCTCTACTTAGGCTTTGATAGACAAGTCAGGCTGCAATGCAGGCTAGTGAACAAATCCCTGGTTACAAATATGAATCTTTTGTCTCTGCCAGATGCTATGTGAAGAAAGAAGCAGTTCACACTTGTATTAAAACCCTTAGATAACATCTAGTGCTGTGATATACATGAGCTCCCGCAAGAGAAATTTCTGGTTAAGTTGATACCATCCTCTTTAACTGTAATTTAAATCAGTAGCTAAGAAACACATAATTTGCAGAATTTTATTGGTGATATGAATTCCTGGTAAGTGAGACAGCGAAGAAGTTGTCTCTGTATTTCTTTTTATTGGTTTGTAGGGTGTTTGCTGCATTGATGAATTTGACAAAATGGATCCTAAAGATCAAGTTGCTATCCATGAAGCCATGGAACAACAAACTATTTCAATAACTAAAGCTGGTGTCAAGGTAAAAAGTAATCTCTAGTTATGCATCATTTTTTTTTTTTGGGGGGGGGGGTGCAGGAAGCACCCCCCCCCCACGATACAGCCATTGTGTGGTTTTAAAAGTCTTAAAACCAAACACTCTTTGCGGTGTTTTGATTTCTCTGCATTCTCATCTGACAATATTATTATATGATTATGCTTGCAACTATAATTAATCATGATTTTGTATCACTTTGTTTTTAGGCATCACTGAATGCAAGAACCTCTATTCTAGCTGCAGCAAACCCAATTGGTGGCCGATACGACAGAACAAAATCACTTAAAGTGAGTTGAGGATAAAACATGCTGTGATATATACAAAATCCTAGCTGGAATTAGCATACTCAAAACTCTTTCTTATTCCTTCATCCTATACATTCAAGTCATTTACAGTACCTGTAAAATGCTTACCCTCCCTGTGGCACACAGGGTGGAGTTGCTGGGTGAGGTGTGGTGGCCATGTTCAGGGGGGGGGGGGGGGGGGGTAGAGGGCCCCCAAAACCCCCCTTTTTTTTTTGTGTTTTTTTGCCCCCCACCAGGATTTGTTCACTTGTCCTTTTTAAAAAAAGGGCCTTTTGTTTAGGGGTGTTTTTTTTTAAACATTGTATCTTTTTTTTTTTTTTGTGCCTAAAAGGGTGGTGAATAAAAAAATTGTTGTAAATACAAAAAAAAATTTACAATATACAACTCAATACTTCTTTTTTTTTTCCCCTCTCACCACTACAGTGCTTCTTTTTATAGGGATACTTGAGGTCGCCCCCCCCGGGGGGGGGGGGGGGGGGGGGGGGGGGGGGGGGGGGGGGGGGGGGGGGGGGGGGGGGGGGGGGGGGGCAGTTAAGGTCCTCCAGAATCCCTCATTTTGTTGTAGTGTTTTTGGACCTCATCAGAGATATGAGTACTTGTCTCCTTTGAAAAAATGGCCATGTGTGTATAGGTTCTTATGTTTGAAACTGTACTCATTTGTTTTTCTTTCGAGCCCTAATCTTGGGTCTGCCTTTTTTATTACTTTCATAAAATCAGTTCTGTTGAAAAGTGTATACAAAAAATAAACATAAACATTGTTCTTGTTGTTGCAGCATAACTTGAACATGTCAGCTCCTATCATGTCCAGATTTGATCTTTTCTTCATTCTTGTAGATGACTGCAATGAGGTACAAACAGTTATGAAAATAGCTTAGCTTTTGATCATAATTATTTGAATGTTAGGTGTGTTATAAATTTTTAATTAATTTGTAGACTTACCCAAGGCTAAAAGTGGAGCTCCTTTTAATGACTTCAACAATCATTGACCATGGCAAAGAAATCCACTTGGAGTTGAAAACTATTAACTTGTCAGCGGATAACTTTAAAAAAATGTAACCTTGATGGGTTGACACCAGTGAGCCAATGACATGGTCATGTGATACTGGTCAGCAGATTCCCTGTCTTGACAGCTGTCAATTGACCACAACATGGATGTGCAATGTGTGAGATTTCACATTGGTTGCCCTGTAGTGCAGACAGACGGGTGGACAGACATGCCTGGTCACATGACTACTAAAATTTCTCAGGGGCATAGGTCACCAATGGGGCTATGGGGCTCTGCTTGCGCGTGCTTTGTTTGCGTGGAGCTCTGCTACTAATATTATTATTTATTTATGATTATTCAGAATTCAATATTATGTGCATGTTGCTGTAAACATTTCCATATCAGTGCTTCATCAGACAGACTGGTCAATATAGCTGGAACCAAATAAAAAAGATTAAAACAATCCTAACAGTGTTAAAAGTTCTGTCTGAGGAAAGACATACAAGAACTGTATGACATGTGGCAAGGGGAATCACTGTTATGATCTGAGTACTGGATTTATGTATTAATATAAAGGCTGATGCTTGCTCCTCCAACAACCTGGGGAACTTAACTCCTTTTATCATTGGTGGTAGGTGACAGATTACGCCATTGCTCGCAGGATTGTTGACTTACACAGCAGGCTTGGGGAGGCAGTTGAGAGAATTTACAGTGTGGTGAGTATAAGTTTATATTAAATAAATTTGGGGGCAGTTTTTTGTTGAGTGAGTAGCGTGTTTTGCAAGAACACTTTCGTCAGTAAAATGCAAAACACTCAACAGGATGAAGCAGCAAGGGCTCTTGGGGATATTATGCGTGAGATTTGTAAGGCATTATTGTAACTGAAAAAAATAATTTATCTATTTTTTGTAGGATGAAGTGCAAAGGTACATCACATTTGCCAGGCAGTTCAAGCCAACGGTAAGGTCTCCTACCAAAATTATGCAATCATACACACCCAATATTTCACATAACTGCAGGCGATATGTGTAGCATATATGCACACCTAGTTTCCTGTTCTTACCGAAGCAAGACAGAAAAAAAAATGCAAATAGAAGCATAGAAGTTCAGACTTTCATGTTTAGCCTGCTTTCTCTCATTTCAAGGAGACAGGCATTTTCATTTAGCATGAATTTCTCTACGTCTGCACTTTTTTTGACAGGGTTCCAAAAAATAATGTTGAATTCCATCGTGTCCTTTAAGTAAGCAGCTCTCACATCTTACTTGCCTAGGGCCCCTTCTTGTTTGTATTACTTAATGATTTGGTTGAGGATGATTTGCCTGCCCCTTGCCTATGGACAAGTAAGCTTTAAAAGTTACTTGCCCACCAAGAAAATCTACTTGTCCCACACAACTGGAGGGAACTTTTTTTGACAGTATTGTAGAAGCGTTCTGGAAGGTCTCTCCTTATTGGTTGCAGGAAACAATGACATGTCATTCTTCCAATTGTTTTTGTATTGTTTGGGGTCAGGGAAACACACCATTGGTGACTTCTCTTCCAAGTAGCTGATACAAGACCCTTTTTTGAGCCCCGTAGTAATGTAAGCAGTATTCACATAAATGTGATAAGACAAATAAACTGATACTTTCAATGTTCTTTATTAATGTGAATTTGAACATGAACAATAAATCAATCATATCCCCACAATGGGCTTTTTTTTAGTTTGTTTTGTTTTTTGGAGTCAGCAGGACTAAAACACTGACCCCAGGTTAACAGCATTTTGTGTGCTCCACCAGAAGATTTTTCTCACAGTTTCCTACCACTGAGATTATTTTTTGATTTTGTGTTTCAGATTAGTAAAGAAGCACAGGATTTCATAGTTGAACAGTACAAACATCTAAGAGAAAGAGACGCAACAAGTAAGCCTCATTAGTTTCTTCTCAAATATGTAAAAAAATTCATGCTTATTAAAAGTAAAAATGAAATCTACATGTAATTTAAGGGGCCTCGATTGGATTTCTCAGGGCGGATACCAGCCAAGTTCGAGCGTTGACTATGTCGTCATTAACCCTTTAAGTCCCAATAGTGACCAAAATCAATTTTCTCCTAACGATATCCATACACTGTCAAGAGATTACATTATGAGAATAGATAAAATGTGACCCTTCATGCGAAAAGGCGGCTTATGGATTTCACTAAAAAACGTGAATTTTTTTCACGGTCACGGTGCGTGAATTAGAGTTTTCACGGCGTGAATTTCAAATTCCACGCCCGTTCACTCCATGCGAGAATTTTTCACTCTTGGCGTGAAACTAATCATGTTGCGACAGATCAGCGAAGACTTTCACGCCGTGATTATTTAACCGGTATAAACTTTCACGCCGTGAAATTAAGAGTGAACACATTTTCACGCCGTGAAACATGTCGAGGGTGAATGAAATCTAACCTGTTTTTTTTCGTTTTGTGTTTTTTCTCGCCCCTTTTCGAACTGGAAAAAAACAAGAATACCTGGTCACGTCAAGCTAAATTTGTGGAAGTTGATCCCACGCAAAAAATAATATTTCTCTCTGCATATTCAAGCCGTTTTAAATAGCTCATGAAAAAAATTAAAAAAAAAACGTATTCAGACTATTCCGCGTTCAGGCCTGTAAAGCCACAAATCACAATCAAACTAGTCACAATTTCTTGTCGATATTTTTGTGTGTTCATGGCAAGTATTTTATTAGATATGCACGATCGTAACTGCTTGTGTTTCATGTCAATTTGTTTACATTGTCTGTAACTGCAACAGTCGGTGACTTTTGGCTCTTTTTTTTCTTCTCCGCAACGTGCAAATTTTCCCAATGTCGATGTCAGAGACGCTTAGTTATTTACTAAACATGGCAAGGTTTTCACTCAAGAAACCTAACAAAATTCTTTGCGGAAAGACTAACTATTACTGCCATTCCTAAAACCGGGATAATTGTCGTCTATGTCGACGCGCATTGCAGTGAAGTGCCTGATCTTATCTACAGTTTTGTAGCCCCATCACACGTGCAAACTCTACTTGATTTATCATGCTCCATTTCAAGTTCCTTGTCTCTTTGCTAAATGTTATACTCAAAATTTCGCCGTTACAACGATGACCAACGATCTGAACAGAAGGAATGAAATAAATCCAAAAGATATCACGCAATATCAAAACATGCGTTACATATTTCATCTTGTCGCCACGGAGTCTAGCGTTTGCATAACCTCGTGGAAGAGATAAAAGCTTCTTTTGGTTGTAAATTTAGAGAATCTTCGGTGACTCACTTTTTAAGCGATTTCATCTGTTTTGCCGAAAATCAAAAATCAAAAAGTACTGACCAGTACATGTTACATTCATGTGGGCAAATAAAGGCTTGCATGACATGTAAACAAACAATGTTACATTTCATTTTGACTGTTGGAAGATTTTCACGGCGTGAAATTTTACTGAAATTTTTCACAGCATGAAATATTATTTTTCACGGCGATTATAAACTTTTTCACTGCGGGAAATTTTCACGGTAGCCGTGAATTTTTCACGGCGTGAAAGAGAAATTTCACTCACATTCCAACAATTTTTCTTACTTTCACGGCCTGGATCGTGAAAATAGGCATAGCGTGAAATTTAGATAAGCCCCCAAGTCGCGTGAAGGGTCACAAATGATCACCAAAGGGAAAATGCTTTGATCTTTTATCAAATTCTCTTAACTAATTCTTAAAGGAAATGTATAGAGATCATGTTTGGAGAATTTGTATGTGGATATTGGGGCTTAAAGGGTTAACAAAGATAATATACAGCTCCAAGCGAATTAGATAATGAGATCATTTTGTTGCTATGAGGACTCTGATGTCAGCATCACATCAAGCATAACAAATTTTCATTTTTTTTTTATTAAGCTGTGGTAATCATTTTTCCATATCTGTGTTAATGGTGAAGTAGATAATGATCAAACTTGGGAGGTACTGACCCTATAAAATCCAATCAAGCCACCTTAAACTTCATCTGAAAGTTATACTTGACAATGATCCTAATTTAATGTTTTGTTTTTAGGTATGGCAAGGTCTGCTTGGCGCATCACAGTGCGTCAGCTGGAAAGCATGATTCGCCTTTCCGAAGCAATGGCCAGGCTATACTGTCAGGATGAGGTATTATGTTGAACCCTTTAAGTCCCAATAGTGACCAACAGCAATTTTCTCCTAACGATATGCATACATTATCATGAGATGAGGTTATGAGAATTAATAAAATGATCACCTAAGAGAAAATACTGATCTTTTATCAAATTCTCTTAACTAATTCTTAAAGGAAATGTATAGAGATCAGTTTGGAGAATTTGTATGTGGATATTGGGACTTGAAGGGTTAATTTTTATAACTGTTCCCTGACGTATCTACATGTAGCCTCAATGAGAAAATGCTGACATTTTGTAATGCTGCCACTGCTGGTTTCCCCACAAAATGACGAGTGAGGAACAAGTGCAGAAATTCTGTGCTGATGAAGGGTCACTACCCAGATTTGGATAGTGATCTGGATTGGTTGAAGCAAATTTCCTGTGCATACCCAGATCTAATTAGTGACATATCATCGGTATGGAATTTCTGTGCTCATTCCTCAGACATCATTTTGTGGGGAAACCAGTGGTGGTATCGCAAAATGTTGGCTGTTTTCTCGAGCTATGAGGTTTGAAGCCTGTATAATATTGTCCATTGCTTGAACCTTTGTAACGATGCATGATGCAATACTGTATAAATTAACTCAAATTCTGTTCTATTTTTTTGCAGGTACAACCAAAACATGTGAAAGAAGCTTTCCGTTTGTTGAACAAGTCAATTATCAGGGTTGAGACCCCAGATGTACAATTTGATGATGAAGAAGAACAGCAAGAAGGTATATTCTAAATATGAATAATTTAATTGATTAATTAATTTTTGATTCAATAGTTGATTAGTGACTTACTTTCTTACTTTCTCTTAACAGTGCCTATCTCTGAACATCCCTGAGGGGAATGAATAACATGATAATTATTTACAATTTACAATAATTATTTTAATTTGTATGCAGGTAAATACAGTACCTACAAAAAGATCAACAATTCTTAAATGTTTTTGTCACACCAGATATGGATGTAGATGCTGAAAGCGGTACCCAGGGCTCACATCCCACAGGAATGGTGAATGGTCATGTTGGGGATGACTCTCACAAAACAGCCGGAGATAAGAGTAAATCCAAACTACGCCTGACATATGATGAGTATGAATCCATGGCAAGACATCTCACAACAACTTTACGAATAGCAGAGAATCGAGCTGGCGATGGTAAGCTTTTGAATGCATTATTTTTTGGGGGAAAATCCAAGATCACAGTGAAAGTTCTCTTAACAGAAACCCTTTTAAGCAGACAGCTCTACCTATGGCCCCACTCTGCTTTTTTTTATTCCCGTAAGCAAACATTTCCAATAGGCGGCTATGAACACTCTCAGAGTTTAAGAGCTGTATGCTGGCTTTAATTTTTTTGTAAGCTCTTGTAAGTGGACACTCACAAGAGCGTCCACTGTTGGTTGCTGATCTCAGATTTCTGGGGTTGGCTATGACAAAACAAACGAAAAATCTGCAAATGGATTCTTTTAGCATTAATGCAGCAATGTTGCCATGAACCTGCAGGAACAGGCAGGCCAAATATTTTCACAGAAAAACTGCCTGTCAAGTGTACTTTTTCAGACTCTGCTCAAAGAATTCGCCAACCTAGATGTAGATTAAATCTAAATCCCAGATTTCCAACTCACAGAGTAAATGTATGTTTGGAGCACCTGTGAATGAAATAGTCACTGAATAGGACAAGTGTTACTGACTAAAAATCCATCTTGCAATTTTGGTTAATACTTTAGATGCAATGCTGATTTGGATTTTCCCAAAGAATTTAATATTTTCACCCTTATTTGTTTTGGATTATTTTGTAGATGACACTGGAATGCGCAGAAGTGACCTTCTAAACCAGTACCTGAAAGACATTGAAGATCAGATTGAGACTGAGGAAGACCTAGCAGAAAAGAAAACCCTTGTTGATAAAGTTTTGGACAGGTTAATCAACAAGGTAAGAATGCAACCACATATTATTCAGTCCTAGATAAAATACCAACTTAAAGTATTTCGTAGCCTTTTTCACAGCACAACCTCTTGAAGAAATTTCTTAACAAGCTCTGTCACTTTAAACTCAGATGAGTTACAATTTATTTTTTACAGATTTTCATGGAAAGTTACCCCTTAAGTAACATTATAACATGCTCATCATTTGCCATTTTCAAGAACACTGTGTTTACCTAAAGTGACTCTATATTCTTCAAATATTTAGAAAGTGCTTCAGTTTTCTAGAAGGTTCTATGGAATATTTAGGGCTTTACTTAACTATATTTTGATTACAGATCAAAAACAAATTGCAAATACTTGGTATTACTTACAGTATTTTTATTCTATCTTAATATCAGGGATATATAATGCTTCAGCTATGATCTACAACTATTTTCTGCTTGAAATATCACAAAATGTTGAAGTATACTACAGCTTGGTTGTAGGAATAAGGAAATTACACTATATACTTTGTTTAAGCATAATTAGGTGTTTGTATTTCAGTGCTGACAACTGTTTGTTCCTCCAGCCAGCTCCAGCTAGAATAAACAAATTTAAGTAGATTATAAAAAAGCGTGGATATTTTTGGAATTAATTGAATACCTCAGATCACGTAAAGGGAGGCGTGCCTAGTGCATTTTGCACAGCCAAAGGCCTCATTAAACTCATTATTGGAGTCCTCCAAGGCAGAAAAAAGACTGTCTAGAAATGTTAATTTAGTAGAAATGGGAGGGAACAGACAGTGTCTTTTATTCCAGCATAATTAAGAGCATAATACATGTACCTCCCACCAAGCATTATTATATTGAGCTTAATGACTTTGTCTCATGGGATAAAGGCCAAAAGCGTAACAATGTGTTTTTTTGGATAATCCATCAGAACCTAGAAAGTGAGCACGAGACATGACATGCCTAACAGGCAAATCTACTTGTTCCAAATTACAAGACAGGATTTTTTTTCAAGTCCTTTTAATACCCAACAGCATCTTATTCCGGAAAGACCAAATTTGAGAAAGAAAAATATTGAAAAATATTACTACTGCAAATTTAAATCAATAAACTACAGAATTTTACCTATAAAGTCAAAAGTATAGACTGAGTTAATTTTCTTTGTTCATGATTAATGCAAGGGAAAGAAGGTTTAGGACATGCAATTTACAATGGATCGCTGAGAGAACAGTTTCATCCTCTAATAATTACAACAATGCTTGGCATCAAAACCCATAAACCATGAGCAAGGTTGGGGATACAACAATAGAGTACTAAAGTGTGACGTCATAAAAATGAAATTTTTGAAATTATGGGATTTGTCACAATATTCTGAAAGAACAATGTCCAATAGGCCTACTTGCCAAAAATGAGCATTTGGGGGCAAATTGTCTCTGAGATCGTAGCCCAGTTATGCTTACAAAACTCCATACAAACCCTTCTAAATTTTTTTGGGGTCGACCCAAAAAAAAATTAGAAGGGTTTGTATGGAGTTTTCTGAGTATAACTGGGCTGCGATCTCAGAGACAATTTGCCCCCAAATGCTCATTTTTGGCAAGGAGGCCTCTTGGACATTGTTCTTTCAGAATATCGTGACAAATCCCATAATTTCGGAAATTTCATTTTTATGACGTCATCACTTTAGTACTCTATCCCAACAACAACAGTGGTACAAATAGTGCTGCTCCAAAACTCAACACTGTGGCCTGATATGACCTGCGGCATGCGGTCAAAACATGGCGATCATTAACTATGACTATCTTGAGACAAACAGTAAACAAAACCCTTTAATGCATAATCCATTTCTTCATTGCCTTTTTAGGACCATGTTATCTTGGCACTGAAAGAGTGGGGCGAGTCAGAAGAGGGATACACACCATCAGAGGATGAGGACCCGTTTCTGGTTGTTCACCCAAACTTTGTCATCGATTGAACATTCACAAAGTTACACTGCCACTTAGCTCAGTGTATGCACATCGGAAATACTGTATATAAAGGGATTCACTGACTAAACTTTGCTTTTCGTGGATAAAGACTTCTGTGAAGATTTGGTGTGTGACTAGATCTTGGTGCAGTGTTGAATTGTTGAACCAGTTTTTTGTGCCACCTTTCTTGACTTAAGCAACTCAGTAAACTGTGTTGATAGTCTAGTTACTCCCAATATCCAAGATGGACATAATCAGGACAACAGTTTAGTTTCCATTAGTTGTGTCTACCTCTATAAGTATCATGTTACAATAAAAGACTAGAGTGTAGTGAAAGAAAGTGAAGTGCCCACTTTAGACAGGTATTCTCCCTCCCTTGAGGAGTGTGTGGATTTTGCAGGGGTGTCTGTTTTAAAGAGAGTTGACAGTTGTAAGGTTACCAAAAAAGGGTACTGGATAGTTCAGGAACTGCCAGCATCTGAATCTGTAAATTGATATTAGCCACATCTTGTACAACTAAGTTCTTAAATCTGTGCGTTCAGTTTACTTCTTGCCATTAAAATGGTCTTCAAACGGTGATGAGATTGTGTGATTAATTTTTTATCATTTTATTTTGGAAAAGCCATGCCTGATGGAAACAAACCAAATCACTTATGTTTTAAGTGGGGCTCCAACTCTGGAGAAACAGCAAACTGGCATGTTCCGCAATCAGATCTTGGTGCCCGATGTTGTGGTTCAAAACAGAAACCTTTGTTGGGGTATCCTGTTTTTGTTGTTTTTTTTTAGCCTCTGAGGAAAGTTTGTCATTGGTATTCATTCACTCTTTTTCTGTTCAGTTTTAAAACTTCAACCCCACAGGCCTTAACCTTGCCATGAGCCCCAATCGAGGCAACCAGTCTCACTGATCGAACCATTAAAAGAAAAATTAATATCAGTAGATTGGATGAGGTATTGTTTACCTTCAGTGGGAACAGACCTGCTCAATAGAAATAGACTCACTGACTCCTTCCCAATCCCACAACCCTTGACAGATGGACTCTGAAGGGGTCATCCCTGGCGTGATATAATTTATTTGTTTTCTTTGTTTGATGGACTATCATCAGGGTTAGGTTCATTGTTAAGGATGTTGTGTTTTCGTTGTTTTGCGTCAGCTATGAGTGAAAAGTTATATTACACTGGAGATAAGCCCTCTGAAGGGTGTAGTGGTTATTGCCAGCTGTCCAGAAATCAGTACTGGGCCTACTCAAAGTGGTCACTGAGATTCAAAGTTGTAGACAAGGAATTGAACAGCTAGGAACTTTTTGGGTTCCATTTTCCTTTTGTTTCCCTGTGAAGGTAGAAGGGTGGTCACCCCTGCCCCACTCCCCTCCCTTTGGTGATAGCCCTGCTTTTCCTTAAAGGTCTGCTACCCTAGCCAATGTGTAGCCACACCCTCGGTGAGTGACCCTCCTCCCAACAAATGAAAAACTGGGGGAGGGTGTGGCTACACTTAGGCTACTGCTACCCAAACAGTAGACTAACCAGTTGGCAGTAAATTGTAGCCTGCATAAGTGCAGATATAAACTAATACCCTTATTTGTTTTGGATTATTTTGTAGATGACACTGGAATGCGCAGAAGTGACCTTCTAAACCAGTACCTGAAAGACATTGAAGATCAGATTGAGACTGAGGAAGACCTAGCAGAAAAGAAAACCCTTGTTGATAAAGTTTTGGACAGGTTAATCAACAAGGTAAGAATGCAACCACATATTATTCAGTCCTCGATAAAATACCAACTTAAAGTATTTCCTAGCCTTTTTCACAGCACAACCTCTTGAATAAATTTCTTAACAAGCTCTGTCACTTTAAACTCAGATGAGTTACAATTTATTTTTTACAGATTTTCATGGAAAGTTACCCCTTAAGTAACATTATAACATGCTCATCATTTGCCATTTTCAAGAACACTGTGTTTACCTAAAGTGACTCTATATTCTTCAAATATTTAGAAAGTGCTTCAGTTTTCTAGAAGGTTCTATGGAATATTTAGGGCTTTACTTAACTATTATTTTGATTACAGATCAAAAACAAATTGCAAATACTTGGTATTACTTACAGTATTTTTATTCTATCTTAATATCAGGGATATATAATGCTTCAGCTATGATCTACAACTATTTTCTGCTTGAAATATCACAAAATGTTGAAGTATACTACAGCTTGGTTGTAGGAATAAGGAAATTACACTATATACTTTGTTTAAGCATAATTAGGTGTTTGTATTTCAGTGCTGACAACTGTTTGTTTCTCCAGCCAGCTCCAGCTAGAATAAACAAATTTAAGTAGATTATAAAAAAGCGTGGATATTTTTGGAATTAATTGAATACCTCAGATCACGTAAAGGGAGGCGTGCCTAGTGCATTTTGCACAGCCAAAGGCCTCATTAAACTCATTATCGGAGTCCTCCAAGGCAGAAAAAAGACTGTCTAGAAATGTTAATTTAGTAGAAATGGGAGGGAACAGACAGTGTCTTTTATTCCAGCATAATTAAGAGCATAATACATGTACCTCCCGCCAAGCATTATTATATTGAGCTTAATGACTTTGTCTCATGGGATAAAGGCCAAAAGCGTAACAATGTGTTTTTTTGGATAATCCATCAGAACCTAGAAAGTGAGCACGAGACATGACAAGCCTAATAGGCAAATCTACTTGTTCCAAATTACAAGACAGGATTTTTTTTCAAGTCCTTTTAATACCCAACAGCATCTTATTCCGGAAAGACCAAATTTGAGAAAGAAAAATATTGAAAAATATTACTACTGCAAATTTAAATCAATAAACTACAGAATTTTACCTATAAAGTCAAAAGTATAGACTGAGTTAATTTTCTTTGTTCATGATTAATGCAAGGGAAAGAAGGTTTAGGACATGCAATTTACAATGGATCGCTGAGAGAACAGTTTCATCCTCTAATAATTACAACAATGCTTCGCATCAAAACCCATAAACCATGAGCAAGGTTGGGGATACAACAATAGAGTACTAAAGTGTGACGTCATAAAAATGAAATTTTTGAAATTATGGGATTTGTCACAATATTCTGAAAGAACAATGTCCAATAGGCCTACTTGCCAAAATGAGCATTTGGGGGCATTAATTGTCTCTGAGATCGTAGCCCAGTTATGCTTACAAAACTCCATACAAACCCTTCTAAATTTTTTTGGGGTCGACCCAAAAAAAAATTAGAAGGGTTTGTATGGAGTTTTCTGAGTATAACTGGGCTGCGATCTCAGAGACAATTTGCCCCCAAATGCTCATTTTTGGCAAGGAGGCCTCTTGGACATTGTTCTTTCAGAATATCGTGACAAATCCCATAATTTCGGAAATTTCATTTTTATGACGTCATCACTTTAGTACTCTATCCCAACAACAACAGTGGTACAAATAGTGCTGCTCCAAAACTCAACACTGTGGCCTGATATGACCTGCGGCATGCGGTCAAAACATGGCGATCATTAACTATGACTATCTTGAGACAAACAGTAAACAAAACCCTTTAATGCATAATCCATTTCTTCATTGCCTTTTTAGGACCATGTTATCTTGGCACTGAAAGAGTGGGGCGAGTCAGAAGAGGGATACACACCATCAGAGGATGAGGACCCGTTTCTGGTTGTTCACCCAAACTTTGTCATCGATTGAACATTCACAAAGTTACACTGCCACTTAGCTCAGTGTATGCACATCGGAAATACTGTATATAAAGGGATTCACTGACTAAACTTTGCTTTTCGTGGATAAAGACTTCTGTGAAGATTTGGTGTGTGACTAGATCTTGGTGCAGTGTTGAATTGTTGAACCAGTTTTTTGTGCCACCTTTCTTGACTTAAGCAACTCAGTAAACTGTGTTGATAGTCTAGTTACTCCCAATATCCAAGATGGACATAATCAGGACAACAGTTTAGTTTCCATTAGTTGTGTCTACCTCTATAAGTATCATGTTACAATAAAAGACTAGAGTGTAGTGAAAGAAAGTGAAGTGCCCACTTTAGACAGGTATTCTCCCTCCCTTGAGGAGTGTGTGGATTTTGCAGGGGTGTCTGTTTTAAAGAGAGTTGACAGTTGTAAGGTTACCAAAAAAGGGTACTGGATAGTTCAGGAACTGCCAGCATCTGAATCTGTAAATTGATATTAGCCACATCTTGTACAACTAAGTTCTTAAATCTGTGCGTTCAGTTTACTTCTTGCCATTAAAATGGTCTTCAAACGGTGATGAGATTGTGTGATTAATTTTTTATCATTTTATTTTGGAAAAGCCATGCCTGATGGAAACAAACCAAATCACTTATGTTTTAAGTGGGGCTCCAACTCTGGAGAAACAGCAAACTGGCATGTTCCGCAATCAGATCTTGGTGCCCGATGTTGTGGTTCAAAACAGAAACCTTTGTTGGGGTATCCTGTTTTTGTTGTTTTTTTTTAGCCTCTGAGGAAAGTTTGTCATTGGTATTCATTCACTCTTTTTCTGTTCAGTTTTAAAACTTCAACCCCACAGGCCTTAACCTTGCCATGAGCCCCAATCGAGGCAACCAGTCTCACTGATCGAACCATTAAAAGAAAAATTAATATCAGTAGATTGGATGAGGTATTGTTTACCTTCAGTGGGAACAGACCTGCTCAATAGAAATAGACTCACTGACTCCTTCCCAATCCCACAACCCTTGACAGATGGACTCTGAAGGGGTCATCCCTGGCGTGATATAATTTATTTGTTTTCTTTGTTTGATGGACTATCATCAGGGTTAGGTTCATTGTTAAGGATGTTGTGTTTTCGTTGTTTTGCGTCAGCTATGAGTGAAAAGTTATATTACACTGGAGATAAGCCCTCTGAAGGGTGTAGTGGTTATTGCCAGCTGTCCAGAAATCAGTACTGGGCCTACTCAAAGTGGTCACTGAGATTCAAAGTTGTAGACAAGGAATTGAACAGCTAGGAACTTTTTGGGTTCCATTTTCCTTTTGTTTCCCTGTGAAGGTAGAAGGGTGGTCACCCCTGCCCCACTCCCCTCCCTTTGGTGATAGCCCTGCTTTTCCTTAAAGGTCTGCTACCCTAGCCAATGTGTAGCCACACCCTCGGTGAGTGACCCTCCTCCCAACAAATGAAAAACTGGGGGAGGGTGTGGCTACACTTAGGCTACTGCTACCCAAACAGTAGACTAACCAGTTGGCAGTAAATTGTAGCCTGCATAAGTGCAGATATAAACTAACTCGCTCATCACACTGGCTAGTAACGTCTGTAATCCTGGTTCTGGACCCCTAACGAACTCAATTACCAGAAGTGCGTTTCAAATTCTCATCAAAGTGATTGGCCAATTGAACAATGGCTTTTTTAATGAGCCAATCATGGCATATACTCAAATCCTGGTACACAGCTGGGGACCCAGAACAAGGATTTTGGTACTGGTTCGTAATTCACAGATGAAATAAACCAGAGGTTTAGTTTTGTGAGGCCCTGCCAGGGTAAAATTCTGACAAGCAACATGGCCCAAAAAGTAGTGACAGCGTATAAAATGAAATCGCTACAAGAGACAACCTCCCTCGGCCAAATTGCAACAGTGACAGCAAAGCCGACAATAAGTGACAAGCATTTATAAACACTGACACGAGACGTTTTAAAATTCAGACGGGCGACATGGACCCCCTCCCTGGCAGGGCCTCTTTTGTCTATCACGCAGACTAGTTAATGGGGGAATACTTAAAATAAATTATTACTGCTACAAAACTGCTAGAACGCTGCTGAAACAACTGCTGCACAACCACTACAAAAGTGCGATAAAAGGATCCTTGCTCTCAAAACAAAAAGGAAACAAATAACATTAATTTCTCGTCTTGAATTTATATTATTACTGGTACGAGTTTGAGATCAGAGGTTTATGTCCAAAAACAATTTGTTCATTGAGTGAGAGACATGGAGTTCCAACCAACTTGACTAAAAAGTACACTCGTGTTTTTTATTAAACGCTTCTGTTCCTTTTAACCTTTTGATGCAGGGGCGGATCTAGGGGGAGGGTGCAGGGGGTGCGCACCCTCCTCTGAGATGACCTGCGGTTTTCTAATACAGTTGGTATTCTGCCAAAAAAAAAACTATGTGGTTTATTGGTGTTGAAGTAGAGCAAGAGACGAGTGCACCCCCTCCTAAACAAAATCCTGGATCCACCCCTGTGATGTCTGATGTGTTTGAGAGTTAAGACTGAGGTGTAACAACATTCAGATATTAGGATCAAGGTGGAATCTTCTATTATACAAGCCAGTAAATTCACTTCATCCTCATAGCTAGGAGCTGGTCTCACATTAATTTCAGTTCAAGTTCTTGTTCCTGTGTTGTACAAAATTTTCACTCTTCTTATGAAACTTCACAATACGTGTCAGTCATCAAAGTCCAGCTTTTCTTGCTTTGTTGCAAATAATGTATATCCATCTAAACATTGTCAAGGAAGTTTTAGGACCAAGTTCTTATCTTAACATTTTTTCTACAGCTGAGAAGTCTTTATTAAACCTCACAACCCTTGAAATATTTAAGACAGGATCCATTACGAAATTGAGTAATTCTAATTTGTCAGTGGACAAAAACCTTGTACTGTCCATATTTTAAGCCATATCACATTCTTTTTACACTTTTGAAGACCTATTGATGTAATTAGTTATCTGTAATAACACCAAAGACAATTTCTTATGGAGCCCGAGAAAATAAATTTAAAAAGTCACAAGGTAAAATCGTCACGCATAAGATCTCATTTTGTGAAATTTGAGGCTTCTGAAGTATTTTCTCACAGCCTCCATATTTATTTTTAGAACCTTTTTTTTGGAGTTTTTTCATATAACTTGTTACATTTATAGCTCTTGAAAAGTGTCAAAAAGAATGCAATATGCTTATTCTGATACAAGGTTTTTGTCCACTGAAAATAAAAATTACTCAATTTCCTAATGGATTTCATCTTAAATAATTTTCTCGGCACCTGAATCCCTACACTCCCTCTCTTTACCCCTGCCCTCTATCTGGTTTTAGCGTTTCATCCCACTACAGGCACAAGGTCACCAGTGAGAATGAGATTCCAATACCTTTGATATTGCAACTCAGAAAAGCTCACAGTCTTTTCTTTTTGGTTTGCTTGATGTGAATGATGTTTCAAACAAAATAATTTGTTCCACTCTAATGCCTACTTTATGTCTGACTTATTTTAAAAATCAATNAAAGTCCAGCTTTTCTTGCTTTGTTGCAAATAATGTATATCCATCTAAACATTGTCAAGGAAGTTTTAGGACCAAGTTCTTATCTTAACATTTTCTACAGCTGAGAAGTCTTTATTAAACCTCACAACCCTTGAAATATTTAAGACAGGATCCATTAGGAAATTGAAATTTGTCAGTGGACAAAAACCTTGTACTGTCCATATTTTAAGCCATATTGCATTCTTTTTACACTTTTGAAGACCTATGTCATTAGTTATCTGTAATAACACCAAAGACAATTTCTTATGGAGCCCGAGAAAATAAATTTAAAATTTCACAAGGTAAAATCGTCACGCATAAGATTTCATTTTGTGAAATTTGAGGCTTCTGAAGTATTTCCTCACAGCCTCCATATTTATTTTAAGAACCTTTCTTTTGGAGTTTTTTCATATAACTTGTTACATTTATAGCTCTTGAAAAGTGTGAAAAAGAATGCAATATGCTTATTCTGATACAAGGTTTTTGTCCACTGAAAATAAAAATTACTCAATTTCCTAATGGATTTCATCTTAAATAATTTTTTCAGCATCTGAATCCCTACACTCCCTCTCTTTACCCCTGCCCTCTATCTGGTTTTAGCGTTTCATCCCACTACAGGCACAAGGTCACCAGTAAGAATGAGCTGTCTGATTCCAATATCTTTGATATTGCAACTCAGAAAAGCTCACAGTCTTTTCTTTTTGGTTTGCTTGATGTGAATGATGTTTCAAACAAAATAATTTGTTCCACTCTAATGCCTACTTTATGTCTGACTTATTTTAAAAATCAATTTTTTGGTCCTACTCCACTTTTCTTCTTTACCAAAGCCCATCTCCTTTTCGAGACAATTCTTAAAGTGCTGGTAGTGGATTTGAATTTTCTTCTCCAGGGCTTTTTTTTCAATGAAAGCAGTAATAACTAACACTGGTTCACAGACCACAATATTGCTTCCTGAATATAAGCTTTGCAGGAACAACTGTTTCCTGATTGCATATAATCCAATACTAATTCTTTCAACATTGTTTTCTTTGGCTGCTCATCAAATCAAAGGAACTGTCATCACTCAGATTAACATGATTCCATTTCATTCTTCGCTAAATTTCCATCATATCCCTTGTTCCATTAGTACAGTGGAACCTCAAAATAACAAACCTTGACTATCCAAAGTCCTTGTTATCACAAACAATTTTTTTTTAACCCAGTAATAGTAAAATACAAAATAATGATATATGTGTATTAGAAAAAAAAACTCAATATAGTGAAACCTCGTTATAAAGAACAAATTTTGCCAGTCCCTTTGCTCTTCATTTTATCAAGGTTCTACTGTATTGTGTAGTTATGATTGCAAACCAAAGTCAGCATAAATGTAACATTTAGGCTGTCACTATGTGGCCAGATGCCAGTCAAGATTTTCAAAATACTAAATAGTTTTAACCTTGTACAATCATCAGATGATTTTATATTCTTGTCTCCTAATTCCCAAATCCCTAGATCTACTTTTGCTTTATTCCATGTCACCCAATGTAGCAAGATCAGACAGATCAGACTGTCAATAGTTTAATTAATTGACTTGAAAACCTTGATCAGATGTTGGGGCCCGTTTCTCGAAAGTCCCGGTAACTTTTCAGACCTGAAAAGCTGTTTCATGCTTGCCGAGTTTGCATTCAAAATCAAAGTTTCAATAATTTTGCAAATGATACAATAAAACTATCAGTTAACAAAGCAAAATGGCCTGGTTTGTGAGCTAGAAACTGTGCTGTTTTTATTTTAAAATCTGCCTTTGGGCTTGCAAAGTTACCGGGCCTTTCGAGAAACGGGCCTCTGGTCATTTAGAAACTTTTTAAAATATGACCACAAGGGTGATTTATATATTATCTAAATCTAAATTGATAATCCACAAAGGGGGTAGCACATGAATGGATGTAAACAAAAGTTTTGAAAAAAATTGGGAGACACATGATCAATAGACCTGACCCCACACGACTTGAAAGTGGAATTAAATTTGTCAGTCACTCAAGTCATACTGCTGTAGATTTCTATGCAAGTGATCAATCATATTACAACACAAAGCCCTTACACCTGGTCAAATGTGGATACATTACACAAATGACTGCATGTCCGTATCCACTTCAAACAAAGGAAGTTAATACACTTCCCCAAAGCACGGAAGAATTCCTAGTAATTAAAATAAACCAGTGCTTTTGACTTAACCAAGAATAAGAAGTTTTGCCAAATTTCGTTTACTTGTCCACCTTAAATAATGCACCAAATTCAGCGCAAGTATTAAAGTTGATCTGTGCTATATTGTTTCACGCGGCGGAGTATTTGAAGTTAAAATATCCTGGACGTGACGCACGCGATTAAGTGACTGTGACCAAATGCAATATAGACGTGACACATATCCGCCTGTGACTAAAATAAATCCACCTTAATAGAATTCGTTAGTTCAAGCGTCTCTCTTCAGTACTAACAAGTAATTTAATAAAGTTACGCGTGCGCTGCCCTGAAATGGGGACTAAGAATCCGTCCGCAAATTGACCAGATATGATGTCTTAATTACATTATTCCGGATAAACTTCTTCTCAAACAGAAGATGACAAGCAATTATCAAGAGAAACAATGTCAATGAAACATACTCGCAGTCTACATTTCAATAAATGTTTAACCTAAGCTTTCCGTTACTTTGATTATAAAGTTTTCTTTGCGGTATTAAAATGTAAGCTGAAGTGTATTGCGTAAAACAGTTTCGTTTGAGATAAAAAGGATACAAATTCCGGCAACAGAGGTTAACAGACAAGCAAATATGGCTAAATTTCTTCTTTTCATCTGCTTAAGTTGCTTCTGCCTAGTGGCAAACTGTTTGTTGATGGCTTCCATGCGCCTTCTCTCCGCTTCCGTAAAGTCGCTTGGTTTGTCCGCCATATTGAAATTCTCAATCCGCTGACCAACAGCACGCGGCTTCAAAAATTCTGACGTCAATAGATTTCGAAACGAGGCTTTTTTTGCGTGACTTTGCCCTCCAATGATGAAATCAATGACGTCAATAGCTTTTCACCAATCAAAATGAAGCTTTTAAAAATATACGAGAACTTTCGTACGTTCTTATTGGTCTATTTCGGTCATCTGATGCTCCAGTATTGCCTAAAAATCGATGACCAAATCCTTCCAAAATAGATCGCCATGGCTATATAGCTCAGTGACTCAGCGAAATTCTTTCAAGTGATCACGAGGAAAGGGGCTTACCAGTTGTTTTGTACAGTTTGTCTTTAAAGTGTGTTTCTTTCTGCTTTTATAGTTCTCACATTGGTGGAACCGAAGACATAAACAAGCAAGTTATATCAAGAAAAAAGGAACAACGAACTTTTCAAGCTTTTCCGATTCCTATCAACAGTAATTGCCGTTTCAAAACTTTCACATTAAGTAAGATTAGCAGACATGGCTGTTGGCAAGAAGTATTTCGACTCTGCGAACCTCTTCCAAGTCGCAATGGCCTTTTCAATGTTAAGACCAGAGCTTCAGGGATTCATCGGCCAAAACACAACCCCGCCGATGCCAGCCTATCCACAGTACCAACAAAATTACACCGGAGTTGCCTTTGCGCCAAGCAGCACAAGCAACTTCAACTTCCATGTAGTTCCCAAAGAAGCAGCTGCAGATTATAATAATCCTCTAAGCGAGTTTCTCGACTGGCATACAACAGGCCAAAATCGATTTGATGGAGACAGTGTGGCGATGCTTTTTGACGGAGTCGATAGTCAAGTCCCACGTGAATCGCGTGCTTCCTTCAGTACCGAGTTGGAGAGCGGTTACAGTTCGGACGGGGCCCGCTCGCCTCTTTCATCTGTCGCTGGCTCACCTCATCACGATCATGAATCAAGTGCAGGAAACTTTCAATTGCCCAATGGAGATTTCAATAATTTTGGTGCAGCTGGCTTTACACCGCCAGGCGAGGAAGAAGTTCTGAAATCGATGGGCAATTTCGAACTTGAAGACTACATCGACCTCGACGTACTGTACGAGGGGCCGCCGCAGAAAAAAGCATTTTTACCTGAAGATCAAGCCTTCAATCCACACACCAAGGCTGAGCCATTGAGCCCTGTTGACAGCTACACAAAATTTCCCAGCTCACCACCACAGACCTACGTACCTTCCGATTTCGCTCGCAAGAGTCCTCTCGACGAAATTTCCGTAGAGCCATTCAACTTTGATGGTCCATTCTCGACAGACTCTATTGATTTCATCCCTACAGCCGAAGAACTCCAACATGTAGGGGAAGATGTGGACCCAGAATTTGATTTTGCATCATGGGCCGATAATTTGAACTTTGAAAATGATTTGGCTCTCGATATTTTCGACCCAAGACCACCGGCGGTGCAGAATGCAGTGGAAAACAAACATGACACATTGCTCCCTCTGGGACAAGAACTCGTGCCTGTCTTTTCAGAAGCAGCAGCGACCAGAAACGACAGTGGAGGTTCGTTTTCAGGTAAGATCTTTCTTGTGATACTGAAATTCTTAAGATCACCACCCAAAAAATATATACATCGCTATATGAGCGTGAAGTTATGGTAAACTTGCTAATTTTTCTGACATTCAGATAGTTACATAATCGAATCAACTTAAAGTACCAAATTTAAGTACGCAGTTCTGAAAAAATACTTGTTCTTAATATTAATCTGTCCTGTTTCAGTTCTTTTTAAAGCGCTTTCGTGACCATATTAGTTTGGAAGTATTTGTTATTATTTGCTTAGAAACAATTTCCGTTTTTGCTAACAAATTCTGTTCAGTTTCGTGACTTCGAACAAAGTAATTAATACAGTGCATTGTTTGTGCGCAGGGCCAATATATTCTTTATCTTTAAGCACTACAAGTTTGTTGTTGTTCATACAGTACCGATAAACCTCGTTAGCGTGCTTTGCGCTCGTTTCAAAGAATATTATTCTTTGCGGGTGGCTTCGTTTCGACGAATACAGAAAGAGAATTGTTTGGGGACGTGATAATTTCTGCAAATCGTAAAGCTCTCTTAGCAGGAGTGCCGTCGTTAATAAGGAACCCTTGGGGGGTATGATATATTATGCGAAATTCCGGTCCTTGCTGACGTCATTGTCAAAAACTCGTTCTGTTTGGGTATTTTAAGTATGATTTCCATGTAAATTAGACTGGAGTTTGTGAATTAATTGTTGATAATATCTAATGTGTTACTGGTCTGTTTTTCTTTTCAGAAACTGCAAGAGAAGAAACCCATGGCATTGGTGGAAACTGGGAGAGCACATCTTTGCCATTGTTGTCAAGCGCAACAATCAAGCAAGAGAAACCAGATTTTTCTGGGCCATCGACAAGCACATCTAGCAGATTTGCACCAACAAAAGCCCCAAGGGATTGTAAAGATGCAAAGCCAACGATTGGTTCATCTTCTTCATCATCACATTTTGCATCGGAAGAAGAAATAGTAGACATGAGTATTGCTGAATTTAACACATTTTTGGAAACACTGTCAGAAGCCCAGGCGCAAGAAGCCAGAGATATTCGTAGAAGAGGGAAGAACAAGGTTGCTGCCCGCTTGTGCCGCAAAAGAAAGATAGAAGTTGTCAGTGACATTGAAGAAGAAATCAACAGCCTTAGAAAGCAGAAAGAGGATGTCCTCAATCAGAGGAAAAAACTGCAGGCTGAGAATGCCTATTATAAAAATAAAATTATTGAACTGCAAGATCATCTCTTTAAGAGCTTACGAGATGAAAGTGGCAGACCTCTTTCACCTAATGAGTATTCACTCTTCCAAGGAGCTAATGGAAGCATATATGTTGGAAAAAACATTGTTTCTGAATCAAAAAAGAAGCAATCTCGTGGTTAAGTAATGACTGTTAAGAGACCATTGAAAACTGTAGTGAAGTTAAATGCAAATTCACTGAAGCCGTAGCAAGGTCTTGCAGAGACCTTAACACACAGCCAGCCTTTTCCCTAGAAGTCGCTCGTGATCAAATGAATGAACATTTATTTCCATCACTGATATGTCATGGTATTTATATTGGAGAAAAACTTAGGAACAGGAATATGCTAGTCAGTAGCAGATTACGGCTTTTTGTTCTAACNTACATAGTAATTTATAGTCTCTCCGATCCATTTCTAGATGACATTAGCTTTTCAGGGTGCAAAGAAAGTCAGTTTTACAGCTTGCCATTCAGGAAAGCTGTAGTTAGCATTTACTCGCCCAAAAGTCATTTTTACTAGCCCGATGATGGCCAGGGTTGATAACAGTTCTATTGTGATTAGAATTCCTTAGAAAAATTTCACTTGCCAGGCGGGCAAGTTAAGAACAGGATTGGCTACCCCAATAGTAAAATCCACTAGCCCCGGGTTATCTGAGATGACTTTCTTTGCACGCTGCTTTCTCTTATTCTCCCTGCCACAAGTGTTCAACATAAAATTCCTTAAATATTTTATCCAAATTTCATTTTGTGAAATATGGAAATACAGACGTACCAACTGAAAGTACTGCTGAAGAGGTTTCATTTGAATGGTCCTACCCCATAGGATTTCATCCACAAACTCACAAGTGGTAGTGACGGCTTACTAATGTGTCTTGTTGCCCTTTAATCTACCTAACCTTTATGCTAGGGCTAAGCGTGTTTTCTGAATTACAAGTTTTTCGAAAAGGCTGGACACGTCACGGTGTCTCGAACAAAGAAAGTTAAAAAATTTTAAGTCCTAAATGCAATGGTGCATTTTAATATGTAAATAGTGTAAATATATATTTCCTTAGTTAGAGTATATAAGACACTAATTGTCGTAACTTTTTATTATTAATATCTATCTGTTGTAAGCAGTTAGAAGATACATAAGTAGTAGATTTCTTTCTACCAACGAGACAACAGGAAAAAATAATTGAAAATAAAAACAACTAATAAAAGAAACGAATTTGTTTAAAGAAGATATGTCCCTTTGTAATTTCTGTCCGGATATTATAGCAATAATAATAATAGTATCAATTGTCCTTAAACTTTCGTGTAAACAAATTTTTCCTTTCTGCCAAATGGCGTTGTACGAAAAATTTAAAATGAGTGACAATTTTAACAAGTTCCATCAATCATTGTGTGGTTTTGGGAGGCGGATTCGTGGATTTTCAACAATTTTGTTTCAAGTGTTGTGTTCCATTTTCAGTTTTGTTTGTTTTGTTTTGTTTTGTTTTGTTTACATAATTCGTGGCGGTCGGGGACTACACTGCTAATAACTTCGCTTCACATAATGCACGCATGATGCTGGTACTGCACAATTTTAAGGTAATAAGGCCTACTGCTGCTGACGACTTTTTCCTGCAAACTGTTGCAAAAAGTGTTTGGGATTCATCTTATCATGCGCGACAAATTTTCTGTTACAGAGAGTGTTGCATCTCTTAAGAACAGTTCTCTTCTGAGTAATATGAAAATCTGTTGCAGACAGTCGCAACAAACATTTTTGGTTTTCCAGTTGCAAGAAGAAATAAGCCTTTTTTAGTTCTCCGTTTTTTCTTTGCCCATCCGTTGAGACTCAGCGAAGTCAGTTAATGAGATTGAATCACGGCTTTAACCTTTTCAATAATGGAGCCTGAAGTTGATTTACTTAGGGTACGACCATTAAACATTTGAGTGGAGGATTGGGTCATATCAGGAATGCCAAAAAACCTCTTGCATATTTTCCGTACTTGGATACGGTCCTTGAGAATTTCTTCTTACAGAAAGATCGGTCTACATATTGACAAATCGAACGGAAATGGATGAAGTTAAGCCCAATTTGGGAGTGACTTTTCCGCTGACGTCAAAATCCCGGTTGCGCAAGGCCCCTGTTTATTATGTATCTTTAGTCAATTCTGAAGTCAACTAGCGTGGCTAAATCAATCAGTAGAGTTAAAACTGGCCAAACTTATATTGAGAACGTTTTTACTTTTTTTTATTTTGGAGGGTACATAAATCGAGCTCCAGCCTAGCCTCGTAGATATCAGTTTCATTTTTGACATTTTGTAAACGGAGTCTTGTAACTACGAGCAAACTTCACCATGCGCTCTTAATTTGTGCGCTTGGAAAAATGGGCGTAAGAAAGAACCAGCGCCTGCCTTTAGGCCTAAAAAACTCGCTCCGGCTGACTTAACAGGGGCACGCTACGACGGTTCTCCCTTAAATACACTGAAAACACTTTAACGCTACCCAGGGTACTTTTAGATCTCTAGAAATGCATTCTAAGCGGCGCTTTAAAATTTGTACCTGTTAAGTCATCCTAGGGGAACTTGAGTCTTTTCGATACAAGGTCTTCAGTATTATTTTCCCGAAAATTTTAGATGTAACTGATAACGTATTACGAAGGTGAGAATTTTACTGATTCCTCTCTCCATCACATTTTTTAATCCGAAAATTTTAGGTTTCCATTTTTGTACGAATTTATTAGGTAAGCTTCGAAAATTGTTAATAAATGGAACGGTCATCTAGAAATTTTTAGGTTCTCAAGTTATAGAACTGATTCGAGGCAATATTACTTCTCCGGAAAGATATTTAACAGAAAACAGTCGTTAGGTGCCCCTGACTTAACAGTTTTCTGTGAAACTCGTGAGGTCGACATTTCTTGTCATTTCTATGGGAATATATATCTTAAGTAAATCTACAATTACGAACCGACTCTTGGAGGGGCAGGTAGTCCAAGCTCGAAAATATGTGTGTAACCGAGGAGCGTAACCGACGAAATGAGACATACAGATTCACGGCATGGGAAAAAGAATTTTTCTTCCGCTATATTTCTTCCAAAATAAGAAAGAGATTTAGAAAAAAAAATGGTAAAACTGCTTCTACTTCAGTTCATTTTTCTTGTTTCTTGAGTAGTCCTGTGCCGATTTATAGCAGGAGTCACTGATTTTGAGGTTTTTAGCCGGAAACCGGTTTGCTCTCTATTTTTCCTCGAGCTAAGGCCACTCTCGAGCTTGGGTTTCCTACGGGCCTCGTTTGACGTAGGTTACTAGGCGTTGTCTTTCAATATCAAAAGCCGAGACCATACTTGTCGCCTATTGTTTTTATGAGTCTGAGGAATGACGACATGACAAACATTTATTACATTAAAGCCACAAAACTTTACCTTGAACTTGCGACACATGCGGTCCCGACTTTTTCCTGTCTCAATTTTATGCTTAATTTACGGCAAGAGAGGAAACCCTCATTTCATAAACTGACAGATGAAAAAAAAAATTGCTATATAGGCTCACGTTATCCTTCCTTCCGAGAATTCGTCTGATTGGTCAAAAGTTGCTTTCAATATCCTGCCGCGGAAACCAAACAGAGGAGGTCTTTGGAGTTTTCCCAAAACAGGGAGAGTTTACTAGACTGACTTAGATCAGAGCTGTTTCGCTCGGATTTCCAAAGCCCGCGCACAATAAAGAATCGAGCCGGTCACACATGAATCGCCGGTGGTTCAGAAAAATAATTAATGTCAATAATTCTTAAAGTAAATTAATCTAGTATCCCTAATATATTAATTGCCTTATCTGCCTTCGGGAATGAACATGAATATTTCAGTAATTTAAATTTTAAATTTTTGTTTTACTTGAGACTCGCGCATGAACTCCCATCAAACTCACCAGATTAACTCTAAGCAATAAAAGGCAACTTACATCGGTTTGTACGGATCAGTTTCTCTGATTTGCAACATCATTTTGCTCATTTTCGTGCAAAAAAATTAAACTGAGTGCTCAAATGCACCGCTGTAGAATGCATCTGAGGAAGAAAAATGAATGTTATCAAATTTTCTAGTCTGTAGTTTTTGCTGGCTGATGAAAGTGACTAGTCTTTTGACTATCACAGACTATTTAGACTTCAGCTACTCTAAGAAGCTGATATGAAGCAACAATGATATCTTCTCTGTTCTCGTTTATTCAGTCCTTAATTATATGTTATTATCATTATTCAGTCCTTAATTATATGTTATATGTTTATATGTTGGGACTACCGCAAACTATTTTGGATTGGTGAGGTTACAGCTCGCGTTTATAGCTCCGAATCGAAGGGGACGAGCTTATCTAGATCTAGGGAGGGGGGCTACCCCTGGGGGCATGCTCCCCAGGAAAATTTTGAAGTGTTGAAATTTAGAGCTTCTCTTAACTTCTGACAGTGGGAAAAATACTCACAAAGTGGATAGTGAGTGAGAAATTTCACTTAAGTTGTTCAGAGATGCACTTATAACTTACTTACTTACTTAGGGACTTTAGTTCGAGAATAACGCCGAACCATCCTGACAAAATCCGTTTCCAAAAGGCCCCATCGAGCTGATTTGGTCGTAGTATCGTCCAGTCTGTTGTCTGCCTTGATCTAATAAATGTATTATGTATATGCCGGTCTATAAATCTACCAGAAAAGGGTTTCAAGACTAATAACACAAAAAACTGTTTTTTTCTGATAAGTTTCAACAATTCTTCCTTAGTTTCAAGGAAAACTTGAATTACCTTTAACGGGTATAAATGGACAAATAAATAACAGACGTGATCTAGAGTTCGTTGTAACATTTGATACAACAGGTTTTCCCCCGTATTTGCTTGTAAAGCTGCCGTGAAGACGGACGCAACATATTGTCCCAACATATTGTCAACAAGGATGTTGGGAAGGATTTGTTTAATTTGTTTGATCTTATATTTTTTATGGCCATTACGTCTAGTGTAATTTAATTTTGTCATCAGTGAAGGCGACCCGTTACCGTGGAACCTCGATATAACGAACCTCTAAATGATGATGTCCTCGGTATAACAAGCTATTTTCTTTACCCCATACGAAAAGGAGTCTCCGATCTAACGAAAACTCGTTATAGCGAATACAATTTTGCCGGCCTTGGCCCTTCGTCATATCG